AAAATTTTAAAAAAAAAAAAAAAAAAAAAAAAAAAAACTCAATTATACTTTATTGAGAAAATATTATGATAAAATTATGTTCAACTCGGGGCTATTTCAGTAGCTTCTCCCGTAGATAAATAAAGTGAGAGACAAAACCATAACGCGGATTATGATACGAGGATTAAAAATATCGCCATTGGAGCTGGATGCTCTCATCTCTATCGCTCACCCATTGAATTCTCCGCGTATGAGTTGAGCTCTCAACCGGTTTTCAGCTTCAATCTGACTCCTCGAAATCCATCGAATTCGCGCCTCGTTCTCGAGAATAATTCACGTGTGTGCGTTTAACAGTGAGCGAGGGATAGGAAACACACTGAAAGCTCGAAGCTTGGGAAGGAACAAAATATAGGGAATAACGGCGGGGTCGGTGGTGGATGGGCGGGCGGGGTGTGGGAGGGGAATAGTAGTGGAACGAACAGATAAGAATGAGCGAACAACAGTAAGCAAAGCACGAAAAGAATGGCACAGATATATGAAAAGAAAGGTTCCAGACTCCAAATGTAGCTACGCTTTATTCCTTTTGGACAAGGAAAAAACGTTGTCAACTTGCAAGAAAATGTCTAAGGATGTCGCGCGCACCTTTAGCTTTTTTATCACTCGAAAAGTCCAGAATCTTTAAAACTTTTCGAAATGTCTTGAATGTTATTTTCTGCCCTTTTCTTTGATTTTGTGAAAATTTCAGAAAACATACACAATAAAGGCAAATTTTTTAATTAGATTTTTGGCAAATAAGGAATGATGCAAATAAGGACACGGGAATTTAAACGACTATTTTATCTTATTCCTTTACGGGGGAACTATTTTTATCATTTGTAAAATATATTATTGGCTGAAATTTTTGCCCTTATATTACGAGAAATAATTGTAACTTATTTTCTAATCCATTAAATATTTTCGCTACTACTTAGTTTTTGTTTGCTTTTGCTTTTGCTTTTGCTTTTGCTTTTGCTTTTGGCTCAAATCGGTGTTATTGTTGTTAAATTAAAAAGGCAGAGATATATTATAAAATTCTTTTTCAATGTATTAAAACATTGTGTTAAAAATTCTCGGATACTAAATTGCAAATATACGAATTTGTGAATCGCCGAAATTCAAGATTAAACAATATTCAGCTTCGATTTAATAATTATATAGAAAGTGCATGTGGATAGATATTGAAATGCTTAACTCGTGCTCATTTATTAAATAAATAACGATCATTTCCGAATTCTTAGGCAATACGAATCTGCATTGCACTAGAAACAAGCGACATTATTATTCAGCTGCCAATAGAATTTTGTCTTCGACGTGTTTCATTGGCCGGTGTGCAGTAGATAATTGGAGAAGAAAATTAATATCACACTCAACGCCATTACCAGCTGTTGCTATTTATGTCGATCAAGTATTTTCTTGGTTTCTTAAAAAGTGAAAGGAGTATCGTTAACGCGAGAACATTCGATGCCATCTTGTGTAGAATTTTATAAAAGGGCGTAGTACATTGTTGCGTACTTCAGTCGTAAAGAGCCTGGATCGTAAGCATCGTAAGCAGCGATTACCTCGAACGATCATGAGCATTTTCGAGTGACGTATCGTACGCGGAAGTCGTTATGTCAGATGAATTTCGGATGCGGGCGTGTCCCGTAACGTGCTTTTTCATCAGCTTTCCGTGCCCAGCAGCGAGCTTTCGTGACGTAAAGTAGAGCCGTGGCAGCGCGAGCGTAGGAAGGAGCTCCGGGAGACCTCCTCGTTTTTGCCGTTCACGCTGTCATCCTGACACTTGTCTACTGGCTAAGTCGGCTCACTACCAACACGTCCCAGTATCATTCGACAACTAATTCCAACTGCCATCGCTTATCGGAGTCATGATAATGATTGTCGTTAATCTGAAAATTTATGCTAATATCTTAATATCTCATCGGTCACGAATTTAAGAGTGCAATAATCGTACGACAGACAGTCCCTTCACTCCAATCAATTTCTTATCGGTATATAGCCAAAAAGCTTATCTGATTTGATTTTTCTTATTTTTGAATACAATTAATATTAACTTAAGAGATTCTTCTACAATACATGTATAATTTAACATGATTAATTAAATCTCATGTATTTCTGTTTATTTTCCATCGTGCAAACTACATTACTTATAATTATAATCCTTCCTACATCTCATTAAATTGTTATATTGTGTTTATAAAGAGACGAATGCCCGTATTTCATTAGATTATATAAATTTCGTATAGCTAATCCAATAAGACGAATTTAGATGAAAATCCATGCATTGGATAATATATTTAAGTTTCGTCTTAAAAGAAAAATGTTTCATATCATTGCGAGGATAACTTTGACATTAAATTTCCAATCTTCGTTTGAATTTATGCATTCATTGCTGATTATATTTAGCTGTGAATTTTGGGCAACAATTCACGAGCTGAATTCACTCCATATAAAGTACAGTTTTCAAATTTTAATGGGAAATTACGAGAATATTGGGCTTTATTATCCACAGCATAGAAATAGATAATAAATTTTCGTGTTTCACCTTTAACCAATGACTATTAAAAAAAAAATAAATAAATAAAAAAAAAAAAAAAACTTGTACTACTATAAATTACATATTTTCCATGACTAAGGGGTAGAGCGAGTAGGAAAAGTGGAATGGCATAAGCGGTGCAAGCCGGTAAAAATAATTTAAAAAACTAAAGTATCACCTCTAAGGAGCTCGACTAATTAATATTGATTAGCAATTAAAATTGCCAACGGCAATGACAATAATCACAAATAATAATAATCACGAGCATTGCAGCGTGAAGCGAAGAGGGCGTTTCTGCTTGGAAAAACTATTAACCGATTGACGCATTTAATAATTGGAGCTGTGGATACCGTTAGTTTGGCGTTCGATTTAAGCAACCTAAGGAGGAAGAAAATGACGAGACGCACTAGGACGGATTAGATTTGAATATAAAAGTGAGGGACATCGATGGCAATATTCGATTGGATAAGGCAGCTCGTTGACTATAATCTGGATTGACCCAGATAATGTGTACACTCCTCGGATAATTGTAATGCCACCTCTAGTCCTCCCAAATACTTATGCTAATTATTTTACACATGTCGGTAGAACGTCGGTGTGCGGCCATCACGATCGCATCTCTGTCGTATGGGATGTGGGCACGGGCGAAAGAGGATCAGAGGCCAATTGGCAAGCGGGCAGCCTTGATCCTGCCAGCCCAAAGGGCTCCGACCCTCGGACTGGTTTTCGCGTCTATCTGTGCCGTCTACACCATCGCCGTATTGTTGCCCTCCCGTGCCCCGATCGCCGATTCCTCCTACTCCTCTCTCCCGTCCCACTCAACCAATCCGTCGTCACCCACCCTCCCGTACACTCCCCTCACCTCGCCGACCTACAATCACTCCACCCAAGGCACTCCGTAATGCCACGACGTCCCGCACCTCGCGCATACATCCGCCGGTCCAGCATCCGCATATCATCCGATTGAAAATTGATTTTTCGGCTTCGTGGCCCTCTCTTTCGGCGCCCGTTTTTCTTACAAGGCTAATTCCTTTGAGTTCCGCCTCCTCGATGGTACCGTGACCACGACGATAATTATCGGTCTTAGTTTATTAATACGCGACGGCCCGCCAAGTTTGCTCGGTAAATTGGTGTATGAATATTCCGAACGCGGCTATTCCCCAGTTGTGTACTACACATGTCACATTACCGTAAATCATTCAAATGCAACATTATTTAATGCGACAATTAATAAATTTATTGTTTTTGTCATTGATTTATATAAATGGCGTTTTACAATTTTTTTTTTTAATGTGAATTTGGTATTGCTGCGGCCGTTATTAGCGTTATTAATTTTAATATGTCCATACTTTTCACGCTTACTCTCCATACAACGAATGGGCATTTTTTCTTTCTTT